ACCTATGGGGCGATATAATATGTAGGGGCGGGGAGACCTTGCGCTTTGTCGGCATCTCGTAAATTAGCAGGTGTTTGCCTATTGAAGGCAACGCCTGGTGAAGGGCGAAGATATGGTTCATCTGTTGGTTGAGTCAGACATTTCTGTCGTACACATGCGTCGGTACGTGGTATCGTACATCATTGTATGCTTGTGGTTTAGCGGCCAGGGATCGCTAGGCGGGTATGGCAGTATCCGGAGATCGATACTGGCTGAAGGCAATTAGAAGAAATTTCCGTCCTTTTTAAAGTAACCGGGTGAGCGATATATTGTGGGGTGAGTAAGGGTTATTAGATGGCAGTCCTTGAAGGAGGCAGGCGCTTTTTGCCATTAATTAGAACTAATGCTAGTGATGGGGCTGCCAAAACGTGCATATTGAGAGAGGGGTAATCAATAGGTATTCTTCTTGCTTCCCTGCAAGTTTATTCGTCCTCCTCTCTACCATTGAAGTGTCCCAAGAACTGCCCACCACCGGTCGACAGCCGGGCGGCAACAGCTCTGCTCCAGTATTTTTCCCGTTTGGCCTCACCGCACGTTTAAATATTCATAGAGGAACGTTTTGCGCACAATTCACCTATTGGCCGCTAAAAACTTCGTTTGGGCCCGCTCTTTTGCCCGTGCTGGCGATTTCGGGTTCTCGCGCGGGGCCAGGTCAGCCTTCGGCCTTTTTGGAAAGTTTGCGTTCTTCCGCCCTTTTTGCGATTTGCTTGTTTTACACTTCACTAAGCCGCAACAATGGCTGTCTGTTTCTCAGAAAGACAAAGGATCTCTGCTTAGATACGGGGGGGTTCTCGGCAGCGATTGGCTGCCATTCCTGTGCAGTTCGGCATTGCAGAGGAAGAGGGGTGCGAGTCATCTGATTGTTTTTCAGCTCGCATTATCTTCTGTCTGCATTCCAAGCTGCCTGTTGGTCACCGTTAGCTGAGGGGGAGGCCAGCCGCCGTAGTCAAACAGAATGTCTAAGAAACGGCTCGCAGCACCGTCTAATTTCCAGGTGTCGTCTGCTTGCTGGCACCCGGCTGGGGGCAATTCCCTTTGGTGGCGTCACTATGGCGCCTCATCGAATCGGTTGTATGACGCATGTGAGCCGAGGACAGACGCGCAGGGGGGGGTAGCCTGTTGCCGCCTGCACAATATGCAGGCCTCGCAGGCGTACTTCCAGCTCCCCAGCTGCTGCAGGCTCTGCAAGACGCCTGCCTCTGTTGCTTCTCCTGTTGCTTATGATGAGGGCGTGAAGGCAGCAGGATGCAGCTGTAGTCGCGTTGCGATCTTCGACTTGGATGGGACCCTCATCACCACCCGTAGCGGCAAGAAGTTTCCTGTTAACGCCAACGACTGGGTGCTTCGCTTTGAACAACATTTACCCGCACACCTACGCCGTCTTCACGATAACGTGAGATACGTTTTTTGAACACACCGCACCGACAAATTCCCTGCTGCTTTGGAGGCAGAAAGGGTCTCCACAGATTCGCCTTGGTGGCGTCTCCGTCTTAGTGCCCCCCCACATGCGCTAGCCTTCCATGATTCGGCTAGTATTGCTGGCGCATGCTTAACTCAGGGCTGCGTTTCTTTAGTAGACCAGCAAGCGAGGGACCTGTTGCTGGATTCGAAGTTCATAAGGGTGTGGGTTTTGTGCGTTCTGCATATTTGGGGTTTGCAGGGGTATTCAATATTTATTTTGTCAAATCAGTTGGGCGTTACTCTTGGCCATGTTTCCCTTGTGGAAATGACGGCGAAAGTCGACGCAGTGCAGCAGAAGCTGCAGGTGCCACTCACCGCCTGCCTGTGTTGCTGCGACGACATCTACAGGAAACCCAGACCAGCATCGGCTGCTTTCATCTTCAGGGATTTGTTGCCGCTGGTGCAGCAGCATCTGTCTCCGCCGGAACAGCAGCAGCAGCAAGGGGTGGATGCCCCCTCAGGCACTAGGGAGGCTGCTGTTTCTTCTACAGTTGGCGCCGCGTTGGGGTATCCTCGGATCTTCTTTGTGGGCGACTCCGCGGGTCGGCCAGGTGACCACAGTGCCGCAGATTTAAAGTTTGCTTTAAACGTCGGAATGCGATTTTTCACCCCTGAGGAATTTTTTGCCGGTAAAGCAACGCCACCGTTGCCGCTTTTGACTCGCAGACTGCAAGGGGCACCAACAGGAAAGCAAGAAGAGGCAGTGGCAGGGGAAGAAGCACAGCAACCGGTAATTGGGAAGGACAAGAAGCTCAAGAAGAACGTCAAAGACAAAACAGGTAACGATGCCACAACGCTTATCTTTGACCCGGTCGAACTCTTGAGAAACAGCACACATCGTGGGGACTCGCAGCACCAAAGCTGCAGTGCAGCCCAAGAGGGAGGAGGAAGCGACACAAAGACTGACGCAGAAAAGCACCAGCAGCAACAAGAGCAACAGAAGCCGCAGCAGCAGCAGAATAGCTCCCAAGAGCTGGTGATACTCATAGGGGCACCTGGAAGTGGGAAGAGCACCCTGGTTGAGCGGCTGTTCCCTCAGCACGTAGTGGTGCGGCAGGACGACCTGAAAGTGAAGGCGAAATGCCTAGAGGTCTGTGAACGCCTTCTTCGCGAGGGAAGAAGTGTCGTGGTGGACAGACAAAACGCCACCAAAGACGACCGACAGGCTTTCATTCAACTCGCCAAACAACACGGGAAAGGGGGATGCACTGTGAAGGGCATCGCCTTGCTATGGCCCAAAGAGGTTTGTTTACACATGGGCCTTTTCAGAAGCCTCGCAGCATCACTCCGAAACAGCAAAGGCAACAGCAGCAGCAGCAGCAACAACAGCAACAGCAAGAAGAGGGCGGCAAGCGCACCGAGTTCGTCTTCCGTGTCTAGATATCGTGCAGTAAAGGTCCCGAAAGTTGTGGTGAATACATTTTATGCAAATGTGGAGCACCCGACAGTGGAGGAGGGATTCACCCAAGTGGAAATACACAAAGATGTGTCAACAGACTTTGTGCTGTATGATGACTTCTGTTCTGAGGAAGAGAGATGCATTTTTGGCTCCTTTTTAGATTAATTCAACGCATAATCATTCTCTAAAACATCTCGAAGTAAACTCCATCACTCTCTCCGTGCGCGCAGTAAACAACACTGTGGAGATCGTGAAAGTGGAGGCTTCATGTTGCTTATGGTGTTTGCTTGTGGTGTTTATGGTGGGGTTGTTGTTTATTTTGCATGTGATATTTGTTTTTGGCGTATGGTCATGATGCTTGTTTGTCCTAGTGGTTATTGCGTCCACTACTTCAAGCCTCGCTTCGTTTCGAAGTGATTCAGGTTTGTTGTGCCCTGCCAAACTCAAATGACTCACAAGCAACAAAGGAAACTGTCAGTTTCTTCCCTGCATGCATGCGGATCCAATGTTAATGGCAGTGAGTAACCGATGAAGGCAGCTGGAAAATGTACGCCTTTTTAATGTGCAGTGCGTTGACGACACTGTCGCCGTCGGTTTTTGTGTGTACACCGCGCTAAGCTGTAGATGGACGATAAAGAATGAAGCAGCTGCTCGCAGCACAAGACACAGTAATGTTATGTGGTTTGAGGCGGCACGTATGCAGCCGTTCATGATTCAAGTGGGTTCCAATGAAGTGATAAGTCAAGTGGTTAGGACTGAAGTACTGCGGGAGACTTTTCGATCTCGTTACTGGCAGTCTCCTGATTGATTAGTTGAACTTTCACATACTGCAGCTGTTGCCTGCTACAATTACAGGAGTGGCATCGCATCATATCGCGTATGTATTGGGCCGGTAGAGGAGCGCTGAGTACGATTGGGTTTAGGAATGCTGCACACGATGAAGGCTCGTCTCCCCAAAAAATTTGTAATGCAGCACACAATGAAGATTCATCTCCCCAAAAAAACTAAACTAATGTTCTTCAGCCATAGGTAAACCTGGGGGCCAAATCAGCAGCAGCTCCCCAGACATTGCGCAGCAGCTCTCTGGCAGTTCGTATACAGTTGGGTTCAATAAGCATAGAACACTTCACTGAACATCAACATCCATCCGCAGACGTAGCAGAGGAGCCGTTGCCGAATATAGGAGTTGTTCGTAACGAATTTTCTCCCTTTCCACCTACGTCGAAAACCACCACAGAAGTTAGATGCTGTTGTGATGGGGATGGCATGCATTTGAGGGAGATCCCAGTTGCAGCTAGAAAAGACAGACTGCCGGTAGTGGACGAGAAACAGACAACATATCAGTACTATATTCTGTTTCGCATTACACTTCATCGACCTTAGTGCACCAACGTCCCTTCTCCACGCGGCTGGTATGTCGGTTCTAGACGCAGCCGGACAGCCACCACTCGTATGTGTAGAGATGATGTGCACATACCAACGTTAATGCAATGGGAGTGAGGTATATTCGCGGCCAGCCAGAATCAACGAACATCAGGGGTGATGTGATGTTTAAAACGTGCATGTTTATCCCCCCGGGTTGCGAAGATATTTCGTCAGGTCTGCCCTTCAGACTCAGTGCACCACTGGACAGCAATAGAAATGTAAAGATAGCAAAGAAACACCAAAACTGATGCTGCTTCTTCCGTGCCAAAGTCTGACAACAGTGTTCCTCTACGCTGACCAGGAAGCGAACGTCCTGTGGGCGGTCGTGAGGGCCTCTAACGAAGTTCGTTTCTTCTTAGGGTTGTCAAGAGAGATGCATATTAAAAAGGAAAATTCAATAGACTGGAAAACTAATTCATGTTAACTTCCACAGGCTGCCGCCTGGTGGCCCCGCCAAAGCCACAAGCCGTCCGTCTGGTTAGCCCGTGTGAGAGGCTGCGAAAGAAGCCGAAGATGTTCTTCTATTTGTGAATTTTTTGCCTCAGCGAAAGGAGGCTGTTTTCTGAATCAATAGAATAGTATCCGTGAGGTGTCGATAACGTTTAGCAGCGGGGTGCGCTCGTATGCTTAATCATGCCCCCCTCGAGGTATGCTAATATGTAGTGCTGAAGCGAGGACGACGTGCAAACCAGATACGACAGAGGAGCGCCGCGGAGCAGCTTCGTAACCCCTTCATTCTTTCTCCTTTTGGCATTTTAGACGCATTTTGTTTTCTTTTAACGAACTCAAGCGCAATATGTAGCCTGGGGGTTCCCCAGACTACCCAACAACTGGCAGCGGTCCGGTCTACAGCCGTTTTGTGTGGTTTTTCTCTAGGGAGAGTAGGCGGATGTTCGCGCAGACTTGAGGAGAAGATATTCATCTGCAAAGATGCCCTTCTGGCTCAGACGGGGCCGGTCGAAGGCCAGCCAAAATGCACCCCAGGACTCAGCAGCAGCGGCAGCAAACCCAGGTCAGCAGCCGGTATCGAGGGATCACCTGAGTTTGTTAGGCGAACAAAAGGATGAGCAGTGTGACTCGAGGGAGGGTGGGAGACAGTCTAAATGCGTCGTCCTCGTCCCTGCAGCTGCTCACGGGGCATCACCCACTACCGCGATGGAGGCGCGGCCTTCGCTTTTCAGGCGGACTATCTCTAGTCTCTCAACCAAAGTCATGCCGAAGATGAGGTCGGACAGCAGCAAAACCTCATCGAGAGATCAAGGAGGACACCAGACAGCGCAAAATGGAGAGGGAAGACTGGGAAAGGCATCCAGCGGGGGGAAGCAGTCAAACGAGGGGGCCGTCTCAACAGAGACGGATCATGCAAAGAGAGGTTTCCACGGCTTACGGCAGCGATTTCACACTACCGCTTTTCAGGCGGACTATCTCTAGTCTCTCAACCAAAGTCATGCCGAAGATGAGGTCGGACAGCAGCAAAACCTCATCGAGAGATCAAGGAGGACACCAGACAGCGCAAAATGGAGAGGGAAGACTGGGAAAGGCATCCAGCGGGGGGAAGCAGTCAAACGAGGGGGCCGTCTCAACAGAGACGGATCATGCAAAGAGAGGTTTCCACGGCTTACGGCAGCGATTTCACACTACTCATCACACATCTTCAGGGCAAGGAACCGCTGGCCAGGAGGGCACCGCTGACCATTCTCTGCATCTTCCTCTTCACTTGCGCCATCTCCATTTCCCGCACATTCTGCACCATCCGGCCCAGCACGCCAACTCTTCGAGTGCGGAGTCGGAGACGGAAGTAATGCAGTTGCTTCAAAAAGCCACTAATCAGGCAAAGAGAATCGTCGAACGGGCAAGAGGAGAGCACGAGCTATTGATGCAGAGAGCTCGTGAAGAAGCTGAAGCAGAAATTCAAGCTCTCAGGTGCATTGCAGTTCGCACTTATTCACCACTGTTTCGCCATCTCTACTATATTACCCACTGAAATCATGTACCACACGTTCGGGAAACAGGCACACACAGTTCTTGAGCATTGGCTGCCCCCTCCTCTCCCCATTTCTGTTTATCTGTGTTGTTCCGTATATCGATGTTGTTCACCGGCGCATTTTGCATGGTTTAACGCTTTTGTCCTTCCAGAGCCTGCGCCTAGTTCTTCGGCATGTGCGCGTGCAGATGTGAGCTTGAAGCGGAGGCGTTGAAAGATGAACAAGAAGGGAACGGTGGGGAAGACGCCATCCGCGAGGCAACGCTTGAAGAGGATAACCGAATGCGCCAGATTCTCGAGCGTGCCTCCGAGCGTATGGAAGCTTCCGTCTCTTTATGCGTGGGTGCGTCGATGAGGTGCTTATGAAAGATACATCTGCCCTGTTAGTGTGCCGTCGCAGAGGCGTTCAATAATAATTTCGGCTCGTGGGTTGCATTCGCTTGTACAATGCAATGCAGAAATTTAGGCTTGGATCTAGGACGATTGATCATCCGACTACACTCCTCCAAGCTTGTTTATTATTTTGCAGGTCACGTCCTTAACGTGGATACATCACTAGCTGCAGATCGCCGGGGCGCTTTGCAAAATTTGTAAGTTAGCCTTTGCACAAATCCATCTCGAGTCCACAGTCCTTAGTATGTGCCTACAAGCATCAAGGCATTTGCATGCCGGTTCGGTTTGCATTTTAGGAGGAAGAATCCGCCGAACTTCCTTCGGAAGAGCCAAGCTAAAAGCTTCCCGTCGGAGCGTAGAATGCTAGCAGAACGTAGGGCCAAGGGCAAACGGGCGACGCATGTTTCAGACTTCTCCTGGGATGTGGATGCACTCGAATACCCGGCGGTCGACAATAGCTCACCAGAACAAGAAAAATTGTATGCTACAATCTTGGGCGATCGCACGCTTAAGGAAGAGGAAGAAGTTTATATTGATTTCGACGAACTGGAGACGCCTTCCCCGCTTGGACGCTTTTCGTCTGCCATGCAAAGTATTCAGACCACTTGCGGTTGCTTTCTCGGATAGGCACTACAACACGAAGGGGTCCTAGTGACTGAATACGTTTGCTGTGAAGTTGCCCTATTGGTTCCCTGCAATTCAGCAGGAACATCCATCAGTTGGCGTTCTTACCATGTATGCAAAATGCTAAAATGTGCTTCTGCAAGCGGGGTAGTTTTGTGTGGTTGCAGTTGCCTTTATGTGAAAAAGCAAAACAAGGACGATGCGCTCATGCACTCCTTCCCCTTCTAACAGAAGATCAATAGTCCCCGTGAGACCGTTTCCTGTGTTGCGGGATCGTCTTAGTCACCTCAAGATGCCAATTCGTCGTGGCATATGTGTTTGCAAGCGTCCTGCTTCGAATTAGGGTCGTGGTGAAGAGTGGCCAGCATCACAAGGACCGCGAGAGCTTTTCTTCTCAAGTCAGAATCGAGTTTGCGCATCGTTGCTCCGGAGGCAGACATATGCGACGCAGATGTATTCGGTCGCCTCTGCTTGTTTCGAACCAGACCACTCTGAAGGTACAAGGAGGCAAGCTGTCAGAAATACTTTAAGCACGGCTGTTTTCCTAGCGAAGCTTTTGGGATTACTTGTCTATTTCGCGTGCCTGCGCCGCAACGCAGCACACTATTTCCGCCAGATTTGCTCTGGAGCGGAAATTTTTGTAACGACCTTTCTTGGCTACATAGTTTCGAAGTTTTCTTCGTTGCAAGTATACTTGCAGGCTTTGGAAATACCGAGGATTTAGAGGAAAGCGTCTGTTAGTCATTTTTCTCTTAAGTAGAGTGACTACAAACACCTAGAAAGTAGGATGATTACAGATCCTGCGTACTCACGGTATTTACGCTCCGCTCTGCAGGTGTGTTACTGCTTCGTGTAGCTAGTTTAGGGACAAAAGCCTTTAGATTACGGCCTGTTGAACGGGCATTTTCTGCATAACCAATCTGCGTTTTGCACACAGCGCAATGCCATTCGCGTTGCGACGTTCGGATGAAGTGGCTACGAATGAAATGGACAACAACGCCGAAAGGGAAGAGCAAAGAAACACAAAACATCTGCTTAAAATAGTAAAATTACCCCGATAAAATGCTGGGCGGGGGTAGGCTCAAAATTCGTTTTTTCAAAAAAGTGCCACGCAATAGTGAGCCTGCTGCATCCGGTGTACCGACACCTGAACTTTCGCAGTATGTCAGCTGCACCCCGCCTCGTCACATTTGGCTAAGTTAAGCGCGACTTCCTCCTTCACTTTTTGCACGGTTCCTTTATCGCGCGTTTCTGTTCGGAATTACCATTGGATCCTATACAAAACTTCCGAAGATGAGGGATCCATCTGGAGCGAAGGCTAAAGTCGAAACCTTCAAATGTAAGCTGTTTTGTCCTTTGAGCTCTAGAAACTTGTTTATCAATGCTTTTACCTTCAGATGCGGTAAGACTGTCACGATCCCAACGATTGGCCAATCCCTCACAGGAATTGCCCAACCATTGCTGCTGTGGGAGGATATGCAATAAATCTTCTGCATCTCTGTTATCCTCCAGGCGACAATTATAACCGCCGTATCAGGGGCAACGGCCCTGTACTTTGCCGCAGTCGTCGCCACAAACTTCATGAAACCATGTGACGTTCCACTAAGTAAGTCCAGAATACTTGTCCTGCATTGCGCAAACATGCCAGAATCCGCGTAATTCAGATCTCTGGCTCGTCGGGGCCATTATGCTCGTAAGCTCCTCAAGTTCCTACTGCATAAAGCAACGGTGAAGAAAATACGCGCAGAGCTTACCAGCGACTTACGCTGCTGACAGGATGAAGAAACAACTCGGCTTCCCAGCTGCTGTAGGGCGATTATCTGTCTTTTCACCTAGCAAATAAATGTTCAATTCCTGCATCCTCAGTTGTGGTTTGAAATCTCTCTCCTCGCCCTTGGTTTTATTTGGATGGCTGCCGGAACCGTAATGGTGAGTCCCACATAACCCTTCCATTCGAGCCCCTGTCTATTCAACAACGGCACAACAGATAAACATGTCTACAACTTGCGAAGTAACCGCTCCGGTACCTTGGTGGACCACGTTTATAACGGTAGGTGCCAGCAAATGAACGTCAGTTTATGAGCCGTCCGTTATCACTAGAATTCAGGTCTCTCTGTTCTGGTGTGGCTCAATTGGAGGCGTGTTCTTCCTCCTGTCGATCGTCCTCATCCCCATGTTTCTGGCTGGTGGAAGAACCCCCCAGATCCTCTGACCAAAAAACTGAATAACTATTTCCTGGGACTTGAGCACAGTTGTTGTAACTGCTGCTTGGGACTCCCCTTGAAGTACTATTCCGTTACTTCGAGGTTTCGTTGTCTACCGTGTTGTCAGTTGACGAAGCTACTGTGTTAGCACACGCTGCGACAAGAAAAGGACTCCGAACGATTCCCTTTCACAGTGCACCGGTGCACTTGTGTGTCCGTGAATACTGCGAAGCTTCTAGCACATGAATATTTGAACCTGCTACGCATGTGCAAAAACATGCTTAGATTCCGCAGCGAAGTTGCCCTCTGGTATCACAAAGTCTACTAGTTGACCTGCAAATTCAGTCAAACGCACTTCAAGCCTATGCAAATATGTTCAAGAGGAACAGGGCAGTAGGAAGACAGAGCTACACTGACTTTAGCCCTACGTAGCCAGCAAAACGAGCGATGTTTACCGCTGTGAAAGACGCATCGCCGAGGGGAGAATAGCAACATTGCCTTCGAATCGTAGATTACAGCTCCCCTGCACCTGCGCACGGCCGCTTCCGCCGCCTCAAAGGATGCAAAGCGCAAAACAAATAAGCCATCGTTATTTAGGACCAAGCGATTCATCAAAACCCTGCACCGAACAACGCACAGGTAGAAGCCATGGAGATGATCGCAGAGACGGTTTCAGGATGAGAAATGCCACGGTAACACAGAAGACGGCAGTCGTTTTGTGACGGCAACGCACTTCTTCACTACGTGGCGGCCTAGGTCGAACCTTTCCCCAGGAAAACAAGACACTTTGCCTGCATTTTGGAGATCTTCCTCTTCCTCCTGAACCGTCAAAACAAGCGCAGCGAAAGAAGCACAACTCCGGTACTTAGACACTAAGGGATGCAACTGCCACCACAGTCTTCAGCTTCTACAAATTTCCCTACTAAAGATATTTAGTGCGCTCCACACTTACGTCTGTCTCTGGCCCGCCAATGGATGGAATAAAGACGCTCCCGTCCGCTGTGGCAGAAACGATGTCTGAGAAGCCGTTCCTGCCAACTGCGAATGCCGATGGACCCGGTCTGCAACCATTCATGCTTGCTCTACTGACCTTATTCGGGAGGATTTTGCCTGTGTCGCTCTTCAAACTGCATCCCAACGATGACGAACTGCTTGCTTCTGTTTTTCCTCTCGGCAACAACCTATCCTCCCTACCACCGCTGCAGTCAGATCTTAAGGTATCGGCAACAGCATCAGTGATAGGCACTTTTCTGTGCAACGGCAACAAAAAGAACGGTTCCGCTGCGTCTGAACGAGCTTCGACAAGTAGTTGTTCGTACCCGAACAACTTTGGGTTTGTCATTCGGATACGGCAAACCCCAGGATAATCGCACGTAGGCGCGGCTTCGTGGACCAGTGCAAATGATAGTATGCGGGCAATTTCTGCGGCAGCAAAAGCACAGCATGGGGAAAACGCCATTCACGAAAAGTTGGCGTATGCTGGCCAGCATTTGACCAGGTCATTGAAGCAATGGTGCGATGCGTTTTCCTACCATCAGGGGTAAGTATGAAGGGCAAGTTTGTTGCAATGAGCGTTGTCTTCACTGCAGCATCCTCGGGGTACACCAGCCGGTCAACGCAAGGCACCCCGAACGTGCGAAGGTAAGTGCTGCATGCATTTTGTTTCTCTTGAGCTGAGCTGAATTCTGTAGAGAGCGGAAACGAAAGCCAGGAATGTGGACGCATTGAAAAGGGAAGTGGCGTGTGAATGACTTCAAGCATGCGAAATGCCTTCTGCTACCCGCTGGTGGAACTCTGCTCAACTCCCCGACGTGTATAATCTTACCAGCTAGAGCGAAGATGGGGGAGAACCGTCTCTCTAGTTTGCCGCTAACGGCTTGTTCCCCCTTGGCTTGAAGTGTATTCTGATCAAGCGCAATCAGTGACACGGACGCGAGCTCTCAGGTGCATAATGTGGCCGCATTTTTGGAGCATTCTGACATGCCAGAGCAGCTAAAGCAATGCGACTCACGTCCTCCGTTTGATCCAGAGTCCGCAGACGGTCATCAAATATTTCCAGCCGTTGGATTTTCCCACAGCCCGAAAACGCCTGCAGCGCAGATGCGACAGCGTTGAAGACCAGACGCTTCATCGTGTGCACTTCCAAGCCCTCTCCTGCAAGCAGAACAGGCCTAAAAAAATAAAATGTTGGAAACGGACCTTGCAAATAACGTCTGTGAGGATATGCCTTGGAGCATGGGGTAGGTTGGAGAGGAAGACAAGGTTCTTGGACCTGCTGCCGGGTTCGGGGATGGATGGGTCTTGCCAATCAACAACGAACTCCCCAATTCGTTTCTGCGTTTGCATGCCACATCGGGTGTTGCAGCGATGCAATCAGTCTGTGTGGCTCGCCGCCCCCACCGTCTCTCTGTCTGTTTTGTCTAAAACAGTTCAGGGGTTGCTGAGAGGTTTTCCTTTACTTGCCTCTGTCAAGCGCGTTGGTGTTGGGGGTCTCAAGGCAATCTCCCTCTGCGGGTACTGAGGATCTCCGGGGTGAAAATGGCGTTGGAATTCATCTTCAGCAAAGGCCGTAGATGTCCGTTGCTGGGCTTTGTTTCGATTTGACTGAGAACGCAGGAGCTCTGCCCCCACCGTATAGTCGCCCATGATGGACTGCGGCATCCCATCGCCTACGTCGTCTTGCTGCGTGCGGCACAACGCAGGCAAATCTCATGCAGCATGAAGACATCTGCTTCTGTTGCACTCTCTCAGTCACAGCAACCCGACTCAGCCCCCCCACACAGGACTCCTTATTGAGGTAGGCTATCCCCTTCATTGGCCTCAATGCAGGGAACAGGCGCTGCACGGTGAGTACTTATCGCGCCGTACGTACAGAGGCAATGCGGTCTGAAGATGCTTTCGAGAGACGTAGAAAGTGATGAGGGTCTACGACGTCCAAACTGGCGGCCAGAAGCCTCATCAACTCCCCGCGGTGCTCCGCTGCAAACAGAGGCAAATCACCAAACAGGCACAATGCGAAGCAAAGCGAAGCGACACCGGCTCACAGCAGTCCCGCCTTCTTTTCTCCTATTCATTAACAAAACACCATGACCATGCCGATTCATGTTAAACGATAAAATACCACTTCCAATGAGCTTCATAAAGATACTGGGGACGATATGTAACGGGGTAGAAGACCGTCTTTAAGGGCTTTAACTACACACCCCTCGAATGATCGAATAACTTAAGGGCTAAAACACCATTTCACATGGACGCCATAAACATACTCGGGACAATCTTCCCGATATCTCGAACTACGGCGAGTTTGTTCTGTGGCCGGGGGGTCTTCTTGAGCCCCTTGTACGCCTTGAGGCGAACTGCTACACGCTCCAGCTGCCTTTCTGTCAGCCACTCGGAGCACTTGCGGACGAAATTCGAATAACTAAAGCCGCAGGTTGAAGACGCAGGCTGGAGCTGCTGCGGATCCGTCGCAGCCCTCGGCCCCCGTCCCCCCTTCCTCGTTCGTATCTGCCTCTTTTGTGTGTCCCTTCTGGTGTTTTCTCGCGTCGCCTGAGGGCCCCTGGACGCCGCATGCGTCTCCTCAAGAGGCGCCCCAGTCGTCTCAACTGCGAAATGCCGCTGCTGCACACTGCAGGGAGATACACGAGGAGAAGAAGGCCGCAGAGGAAGCTGCAGAGGCGGCCAGACCCGGGTAGGCGTCGACCCTTTCCCTCTGCATTCTCTACCCAAATGAGTCCAAAAATGAGCACACAGACAAAAAGGCAGACGCCTTTTGATGCAACACCCTCGGACTTCTGCTAAGAGAAGATTCTCGACTGGGCGGTTGAACGCAGGCAGCAACAGCCCGGAAGCAGCGGCTTCGCCGACGCAGGGATTCGATAGTAAAAACTTGTGAAGAAGCATTTGGTTCATTGCCTTACATCTAAAAATCAATAAAAGAAAAGCTAAACATTGTTAATTTTAATGGCGCTTCCGAAGAGGGGCCACACGCTGACCTCGGGCTGCTCGACGCCGCCGATGCGGCCTTCTAGCAACAAATGGGGCCTCCAAGTGGGGCAGTGTGAAACTCGTTCAGGTTATTTGCGGAGATGTTCTCTATTTCCTAATTCAGTTGCAATTAAATGCAATTAAATGCGCGAAATCAGCTAAATAAACGAGCTTGGTTAATATATAATTGGCTGCCAGAGAAAGTTGAATGGTAGGTAAGACAACAGACAGGCGCTGGCCTACGCCAACGGTGTGGAAAATGGCAGTAGCCTCAAAGATAAGCCAAATGAAATAATAAAATTAACTTTAATATTAAAATGATGTTGAAGTTTTTGAAGGCTTTCAGGCGTTTATTACTGAAGGTCCCTTGCCATCGCGTGGTGGTGAGGCGTCAAGGTCCCTCCATTTTCTCGGTCGGGTAGTGTCTACTGCGAATATTTTTCATATTTTGGTGTATGATCAGTTCCTCTTATTTATTCCTGGAGGTTGTAGCAAAAGGACAGATATGCGTATATGCTTATGTTCGGTGGCTTGTGAATATTTCTGTTCGTGAACCAACTTCACGCCCCTTTAAAGGGAATGGAATTCGTCGCTTCTTCCGTCTGCCATCCAACATAAGAAGGGGAAGAATTGAATCCCCTCTTACAGCGGTGTATTTAACTGAAATAGAACTTTATTTGACTGTTCGGGTTTGTTTGTTCGTTGGCCTTCCCGCATCAGGGGCGGCGTTCGTTTTCTAGCTCCCCTCTTTCAGCAATTCCAGGAATGCCATTTCGGACTTTGGTTATGAACTCTGAAGCGTTGCTTGCATAATTAAATACATTATTACTGAGCTTGAAGACTTCTTCCTGCAGTCCTCAGGCTTCTCTCTTCCAGTTTGCTCCTCACCGGACATTCAATTGTCATTAGGGATGCGTAGTTGTACTCACATCTCCTGCGTTTTGTTTTCTATTTACGTAAAAGGGAATACCCACCAACTTTTCTTGTTTTTGGTTAAAGAGGGAAATAAATAATGGCCTAATAAGGATGAGGGGGATGTATATTCTGTCGCTGAATGAGACATGAACTTCGCGCAACTGCAACGCGCTTTGACTCATTTCTCTCGTTGCAAATCGAACGGGTTTTGTCTACAGAAAAGGAATTTATACTTGCCTGTATTATTGTGAAATACAAGGTTTATTATGGGGAAAAGCCGTTCATTGGGGCCTTCGCCCTCCGTTTTTTTCATTAAATTTTGATTACACGGATTCGCCAGACCGTCCGTCTATAGAGACGCAGCAAGAATGAAATTGTCTCTACATATATATAGGGCATATGGGCTCTCTGATCCTTCACCCTTTTTGTTGGTGTTTCATATTCGGTACGATTTCCTTTTGTTGAATTTCTTCGCTCTCTGACTTGAGATAAATATATAGATCTACTGGTCTGAAACTGCATATCTATTCTTCTTTCTCCCCCTCTAGGGGACAAACGGACTTTTAAATGTAGTTGTTAGTGTGATATTTGATAAAACTTTACATGGATATTGCCGGGAGAATTGCTGCTCAGTGAAATTGAATTTTTGTTACGAGAGAAGACAAAACAGGTGGCTCATTTGACTACCTACTAGATTGACAATGGCTTTATTTACGGCGTATGGTTTTGTTTATGCTGTATTTGCGTTTTGTTTGAGGTGTTATTCCGTTTCCTCAATTGAGTGGTTTCAGAGCGAACAACGGTCTGGTCCTTTTCCGCCTCTTCTCGGGCCACACAAGGTGACTGAAGGCACTCAGGAGGTAATGAAAACCGCTTTAGCCCTTTTAGGGAAAACAAATAATAACGTTCCAGATTTATAATTATTGACTGTAGATTTTTCGCATTTCAGCTGTCAACAGGCCATCATCATCCCGGCCTGCGACCGCCGGTGCCAGTCCGCTCCCAGTGCGAAATCTCGCAAAAGAATGCGGAGGAAACTACGATGAAAGAAGTCTAAATTATTATAATATAATAGATAATATAATAGATTTAATACACTTAAAATGCAAATTAAATCCATCTTTTCGAATAATCAGTTCGAATAACTCCCCGTTCCCTGTTCGTTTTCGAAGTTGCGGCATCCGCGACGATCGACCGACTAGCACTTGAACGGCGGCGGGCGGCTCGAAGGTGCAGTCAACGGGAATGTAAATAGATTGTTTTTCATAAAAATATTCCTTTTAAATTTAGTTTAAACTCTTTTAGGGTTTTCTGTTGACATGGGGCAGTCGAATTCTACTGGCTACCACCCCGGGGCGGAGGAACCGCCGGGAAGACGAGGAGGCAGTGTTTCGGTTTCTGTTCCTCCTCTCCGTCATTCTAGTCCTTCTTTATCCGATCAAATGCTGCTTGCAAGTCTGCACACTCGGCAAAAGCAATTGCCTAGAGGTGCGAGCAGCAGCGGCATCAATAATATAAGTCGACCCTCTCACGCTGCCCCCCCTCGTTCAAATTTCGCTTATTATTCACGAAATCGCGACTGCAATTCTCTCCCTGCCTCCTCTGCTGCCTCTCCCTGTGGTTCTCGTACTCCTTCTCTTTCATCTGTCTCATCAGTTTCTGCGTGTTCCCCTTCTCCTGATTCTTCTCCTTCTCCTTCGAGGCAGCAGTCCATTACTTTCGTCGATCCCTCCCGCCAAGGCCCTTCTTTTATAGCGTGGAGTCCTCAACAAGCAGCAGAACGGCGGCTGCAACGCACGGCCTCAGCCCCCCGCCTGCCTCATAGTAGCGAAATTGAGCAGTACCTCCTGCCTGAAGACTCGACTGTTTACAGCCCCGCTAGACGCCCCAGAGCCGCACATGACGCAACAGCTGCTCCTGCAGCAGCAGCCACTGCTACACCAGCAGCAGGAGCAGCACAAGCAGCAAGAGCAACAGGAGCAGCAGCATCAGTAGTTATTGCGCCTCCTTTTGCAGTTGATTCTGTTGTATTCAATTCTGTTGCGCAGAGTTCGCAGCCCCGCGAGCCTTGCTTAGTGGGTTGGTGTGAGGTGGAGTCTCCAAAGGAGATGAATATAATATCGACGGGCTCTTTGTTATTCCGGTGTACGTACTGCAATGGAGTACTGCGCCGCACGAAGAATTACATTTCCACATGGCCGAAAGTTTTATTCTGCGAAGCATGCAGATCTCTGCCTCAGTGCAACTCCTGCTGCAAGAAGGCAGTTCCCTTCTTGTATATAGGGGCTGAAGGGAAGCCGCTCTGTTCTCCCCCCTTATTAAACTTTGGGGGCTTGTCTGCATGCGGCCAGTGCCGCCTGATAAACCCAATAGCAGATGAAAGCTCGCTGCAGCAGCAGCTGCTGAAAGCAAGGCAGCTGCTGCGGAGTTTATTTGAACTTCAATTTACAAATCGCCTCGTAGCCCCTCATAGACAGCCTGCGGTTCGCTCTTGTCTAGAAGCCCTCAGCCGCGCCTTTAACCAACAAGATGCATGCACTGTACAACTCAGCTACATCCCTACAGAGGAGGAGCTCACCCGGACGTCGCAGTATATAAAAGAAGGAAGCAGCAGCAACAGCAGCAGCAACAGCAACAAAAAAGAAGAAAAAGAAAGGCTCTGCATGCGCAGCAACAGCGCAGAAGAAGTGCAGCAGCTGCCTTTCGATGTTATGCCCGTATGGCACATGCAGCTGGCGAGGGCTGCTGGGGTCTCCAATATCTACGGGCGGTGTGAAACGAGGGCTTTGACGTTTCCTGCTGTTTCTTTTGAAGAAGAAAAGGAAAGAAAAGAAAAAATAAAAGAAACTGATACAATACAGAAAACCACCTCTATGACAACCCCAACAACACCCATAACAACGGAGTCAAGGACAGCAACAACAGCAACAGCAGCAACGACAGCAGCAGTAACAACAAAAACAAAGCATACGATACAGCCTAGCCGAACGTATCATGTTGTTCAAAGGATTTTGCTTTCGCGTGGTTTGCCTGAGGCTCTTTTAGAGGGGCATTTAGTGCATGAATTGCTGCATGCATTTATCTGGCTGGATTCAGATGGATGTGAGTCTATGAAGATTGATCTGGCAGCAGAAGAAGGCCTTTGCAACTGCATCTTAGCCTGTGCTTTGCAAGTAAAGGTGGAAACATTGCAGAAAAAGAGAGAAAATATCATGAGACAGCTTCTTAAAAGAGGAATTAAACCCAAAACAAACCCAGGAAACAAAGAGATAGACGGATTAAAAGAAACACGTGCCTTCTTGCAAGCTGTTCGCAGTCTACGACTTGAGAGAAGCGAACAAGAAGAACAAGAAGAAGAAAAGGAGGAAAAAGATGAAATTAAAGACGCAGAAACAGCATCACAAAAGGAGGCATCTGCCCGTACACCTCAGATTCTTTCAGAAAACGAACAAGAGGCGAACGAAGCCTTTTCAGTTTCTAATAAAGACTTGCATTTAAATGAAGAATCCGAAGAAGGTGTCCATACACCCCAATTAAAGACAACAGCAGGAAATGCATATTCAACGCTATTTGAACAGCAGCAAGAAATAGAAGAAGAGAATGGAGGTAAAAGAGACGAAGAGGAAGCAGAAGAAAGGTCTTTGAGTGTTTTTCGTACTGAGTACGATCTCTACGTAACTGAATATGAATTAAAAGTAGTAAACAGAAGACTAGCAGAGATGGAGAGAGACAAAGATCCCGCCTATGGCGAAGGATATCGAACAACTCGAAAACTCGCAATGCAAACAAAAATGAAAAAACTCGTCTCCATTCTAAATGCATTCGGGCACACCATAAACGCATTCGTACACGCAGCACAAACATGTGCATAAAATTATCAATATATATATATATAGTATACATAATATATATAAATATATATAATATATAATATATATTATATATGCATTTTATGCTTGCGTATATATTTTTTGCAGTTGCATATCTTTTGTACTTTTAGGATGTGTCGGTAATACATCTAGGAAATATCTGCTGAATAGTATTTCCATAATGTATCTACAGTGCAGCATCTATATATATATATATATATATATATATTAAAAATGCATATATATTTATATGTATGCCTGTATATGTCGATGTACTTTTATTCATCTATGACAATATCTATTGACGTGCATTTGTATATGATGGCATGCATTAAATCATACCTATATATATATACATATATTATAATAAATAGAATATTAAATATATATATATATATACATATATATAAATATATATCTTTTATAAATATGATAAAGATCTTCTTTGGGGAGGGGGGCCGCCTCGATGTTTGCGTCGGGGGAAATTCGAGACAAAAACAAAAAAATTTTAAATCTTTGAATTAGAAAACATATAAATAAGTAAGACAGTAGGCATTTACTACCTATTTATTTATTTACTTATAAATATATATATCTATTTAATATAAAAAACAAATAAATTTTAATATTCAGGCGTCTTATTGAAAAAAAACTTTTCCAGCCTATGAACGCCGGCGTTAGTTGGGGCGAAATAAAATAAAAAGAAAAAAGAAATAAATAAATTAAATCGAAGAATTGAGTTGTTCACATAAAGACAGACACACAGACAAGCAAAGAAACAAGCAAATTAAATAAATAATTAAATAAATGAATAAACGAGGGGAGGAAGAAGAAAAAAGAATATTAAGACTCAAAAGAGAATACAAAAGAAAACAAAATAATAAAAACAAAACCTACAAAAGCCCTCCACGCAAAACCAGCGAAGTTGTAGAAGAATTGATTGCTTTTTTGTGTTTGTTTCGTGCGGTTTGATTGATCTAATTTATTTAATTTATTTGTTTTGTTTATTTTGTTTGTTTGAACAAGGTCCGGCCCAAAAGGATGCAAAGAATTAAAAGTGGAAGGAGGAGGAATAAATAAATCGCCCCACATTTCTGTGTCTTCGTTTTGAGGTGTATGTACACCTGAATGTTCTGTCAATGATATTACTTCTTCTTCTTTTTCTTTTTCTTCTTCTTCGTCTTCTTCTTCACTCTCGACTACATCTATTCTACTCCCCTCTCCAGCGGAGGCCCACGGCCACAGCCTTTGTCGTATTCTTTCTTTTCTGTTTTGCTTGTTTTTTTCTTCTTCGTTTTGTTTGTTGTTTTGTTTGTTGTTTGTTTTGCTGGTGTTTTGTCTGCTGTTTGTCTCTCCTTCTTCTTCTTTAGGCGAGACAAACGCCCTGCGGTCCTCTTTGTTTTTCTCCTTGCTACTCATCTTCTCTCTTTCCCCTTCTGCTGCTGCTGCTGCTGCTGCTGCTGCTGCTGCTGCTGATTCTGCTGCTGCAGTTGAGGTCGTTAATTTTCGCCTCCTTTGAATTACGCCGCCGGCGTTGGATTTGAACAAACCCCACAAATTAAAACCCCATCCACGACCAGCAGCAGCTGCTGCTGCTTCTGACTCTGCTGCTGCTGCTGCTGCTGTTGTTGCTGCTTCTGTTGATTCTCTGGTGGAGCTACCTGAGCCCCCTTCCTCCATTAAGTCGCCTAATGAGAGCGAACCAGCAGCAGCAGCAGCACCTGCTGCTGCTGCTGCAGCAGATGCTGCAGTGTCGTCAACGAACAATCCACCCAAACTGCTGCTGCTGTTTGCATGCATGCGTTGCTGCAGCTTAAGCTGCTGATTAGGATATGGATTTGTGTGGAGGAGATATTGTGCAAAACGACAAAGCCGATTAGCCTTCGAAGAGAATGCCTCGGGGTTAAACCGAAGCAGCAAAACCCTCAGCAGCTCGCGTGCTAAGACTTCTGTTTCTATTTGTATTTGCTTCTCTGTCTTTGTCTCTCTCTCTGTTTCTGTTTGTCTGTTAGCGGCTCCTTTGCGTTGTTTGTATTTTTGTGGAGTTGCAGCAAGAGACTCATCTTTGTTTTGTTCATTAACGCCGCTGCTGCTGTTGCTGCTGTTGCTGCTGCTGCTGCTGCTGTCTGCTTCGCCGAGCAGCAAAGTGGGTCCTGTGTCTGCGAGTTTGGCTGCAGCGAGAAGACAATAAGCCTTCAGATCTTCTACTCCTTGTTTAAACTCTAGAGGCACTCTCACGCCCCCATAACTCCACTCTCTGCTGCTGCTGCTGCTGCTGCTGCTGCTGCTGCTGCTGGGTGTGGCCCCTGGATACCCTTTTGCATAGAGAGCGCAGCAGCAAGCGATAAGGCAAATTTCTTCTACTTTGAATGCCTCCAAGTGGTGCAGCACTGCACGGGCAGCTCGAGGCAGCAACTCACACAGCCTGCTGCTGCTGCTGCTGCTGCTGCTGCTGCTGGTTGTTGTTGTTGTATGCTGAAGGCTAAAGGCCCCTGTTGCTGTGGCTGCCCAGACGATGTCTGTGAGGGGCGCGCCTAGAGGGATATCATCGATGCAGCAGCAAAGTGCTGCTGCTGCTGCTGGCAGCAGCAACGTATGAAAGGAAGTAAAAGAAGTTTGAATGGAAGCAAACGACCGCCACCAAGCAGCAACACCAACAGCAGAACACTGCAGCAGCAGCGGGGCTGTTGCATGCAGCAGCGAGAGGGTGAAGGCCTTCAGCTTTGCAGAAGAGCAGCAAGAGGAGAGTGAAGAAGAAGATGAAGATAAACACAAAGAAGAAGAATCAGCAGGTGAACAGACACACGAAAAAGAAGAAGACAAAGATGCAAGAGACAGCAGCAGCAACGCAGATATATCCGGGCTGCAGCAGTGCAGCCATTGACGAAGCCCTTCACGTGGAGGCAGCAGCAGCAGCAAATCTCCACTCCTGCTGCTGCTGCTGCTGCTCATGCTGCTGCTGCTGCCGCTGTTGGTGCTGCTGCTGCAGCTGCTGCTGCAGCTGCTGCAGGAAGCTGTCCTTGCAAGTAAGAGAGAAGAAACATCGAAGGGCATCGCTTCGTCTCTTCGCTCTTCAATTTCGCGCCACAGCCAACGCAGCAGCGGAGAATAACACAGATGACGCCCAGCAGCAGCAGGAGCAGCAACAGCAGGAGCAGCAGCAGCAACAGCAGGAGCAGCAGCAGCAGCATCAGAGCCAATGCCCTCAAGGGCGGAGATGGCGAGGGCGAGGGAGCTGCAGGCAGCGAGAGAAATTCGTTTTGTTCGCTGCATCTTTCTATCATCTTCATTACCTTCAGTTGCTTCTGCTGCTGCTGCAGCAGGAGCAGCAGCAGCAGCAGCAGCAGCAGCAGAATGGAGGTTGGCGTTGGGTCTCCGCTGCAGCTGCACACAAACTTGTTTGCTGTTCTGTCGAGCTGAGAGATGCAGCACGACTACAGAAGGCCCTGTGTCTTCTTCTTCTTCTTCTTCTTCTTCTTCTTCCTCTGCTGCTGCTGCTGCTGCTGTTGTTGCTGCTGCTGCAGCTGCTGCTCGGTGTTTTGGTTTGTAGGGGTTGTGTTGTTTGCTGCTGGGCTTGAGTTGAGCTGACTTTAAGGTGTATGTACTGAAGAAAGTATTTAAGAGAAGCAGCAACGCGCGATCCTTCAGACAGAGTTGATTAGAAGAAGGCGAAGGGCCCCCTGGTGTATATGCTGTTTCCTGCTGCACCTCTGCTGCTGCTGCTGCTGCTGCTGCTTCTGCTTCTGCTTCTGCTGGTGTTGCTGCTGCTGCTGTTTTTCGTGCTGCTGCTGCTGCTGCTGCGCAGCACCAAGCCAATGAAGGAAGGCCCTGAGCAGCAGAGGCCAGGGTAAGAACACAAGGCAAGACTTCTTTTGAGGATATTTTTGTTGCATCTGAAAACAACTCTACTAAATAATCTGCGAACGAATACCCCCGAGAAAATAATACGCTGGACGTACACCCCAAACCATCGCCTAATGAAGAAAATAAAGCAGCAGAAGATGTTTCTTTCTCACACTCTTCTTCCTGCTGCTGCTGTTGCTGTTGCTGCTGCTCCTGCTGCTGCTGCAGCTGCAGCAAACGTGGAAGGGGGCGAATTGGAGTTGGATCGCTTGAATTGCATGCAGCAGCAGCAGCAGCAGCAGCAGCAGAAGACAAAGCGAATAACTGCTTCTCTCTCTCTACCCCAAAACCAGCAGCAGCAGCAGGAACAGCAGCAGCAGCAGCAGCAGCAGCAGCAGAACTGAGGCCTCCTTGTGGATGCAGTGCTGAATATGAAGAAGCAGCAGAAGAGTTAAATTCAAAAGGCGAGTGAAAATGTTTTCCCTGTCGATACACCTCATCGGCCAGCTGCAGCTGCAACTGAGACTGCAGCAGTTGCTGCTGCTGCTGCTGCAACTGATGCCGTTGCTGCTGCTGCTGCTTCAGCAGCAGCTGCTGCTGCACCTGTTGCCGTTGCTGCTGCTGCTGCTGCTGCTGTTGCGGTGACCAACGTAAATGCTTCTGAGGAGATGCAGACGAGAGAAGAGGCCTCCCCTGCGCTTCAAACGAATAAGAGGTAGGAGCTGCTAAAGAAGAAGATGAAGACAAATGAGTTGTTAAAGGAGATGAAGACAAAGGGGTTATTAAAGAAGATGAAGAGCTGAGAATTTGTGAAGAAGAAGCTGCAGCTGAGCGGCCCTCGGGGGGTTTAATAATTGGACCTAAAGAAGCAAAATCAGAGAAATGCGGAGGTGAAAGAGATGAAAAAGACGAAAAAGACGAAAAGGATGAAGAAGAGGGCCCCGCAGAAGTAGAAGACGAAGGTTCTAAGGCAAAAGACGAAGAGGGGGGCCCTAAAGGCTTTAACAAAGGTGCAGCAGCAGCAGCAGCAGCATCTGCTGCTGCTGCTGCTGCTGTTGCTGTTGTTGTTGTATCTGCTGCTGCATATAGAGAGGAAGCTCCTGCAACAGCGTTCGGGGTTTCTAAATAAGGTGAGTAAAGACGGTGAGACGAGGTTAAGGGGCCCCCAGCAGCAGCAGAGGGGCCCTCTGAGCGCTCTAATAAAGAAGAAGTGAGGGCCCCCCTTGCTCTGCTGCTGCTGCTCAGCGTCTCTGTCTTCCTCCAGGGTATAGACGAGGAGAGACCGCCAACCCCGCTGCTGCTGCTGCTGCTGCTGCTGCTGCTGCTGCTGGGGGTGGTGTGTTTGTTTCGGTGTACGTACAGCTTAAAAGGTAATTTATTGCTGTCTTGAGAATAAGAGAAAGACAAGCGCTTCTTCTGGGGGCCCCCGTTACCTCTGTTGCTGCTGCTGTCTAGAAGCGAAGAAGAAGAAAAAGAAGAAGACAATGAGGGTTTTAAAGCTGCAGCAGATGCAGCAGCAGGGGCCCCTGATGTATGTACAGAACGAAAGGGAGAGGGGCCCCTCAACCCTGACGAAACACCACTGAGGGGCTTACGAGAAAAGGAGGAAAGAGGAAGCTGCTGCTGCTGCTGCTGCTGCTGCAGCAAAAGCTGCTGCTGCTGCAGATCCAGTTCCTGCTGAGTGCAAAGGCTTGCTGCTGTTGATACGGTAGGGAGGAAGCTGCTGCTGGAAGAGAGGCCCTTCCATCCGCTGCTGCTGCTGCTGCTGCTGCTGCTGCTGAGTGGTGCAGCAGGCAGAAGGGGGACGGGGCCCTGAGGCCCCGAGTGCAGCGCCTTGCTGTCTGGTTTTGTTGATGGGTACAGCAGAGTGGAGCTCCAAAGAGAAGAAGAAGATAAGAGAGCAGCTTCTCTATTTCTTCTTTCTTCTTCAGTTGTTGCCTCTCTTTCTTCTTTGTTTGTAAGTAAACTGCTGATGGATGCAGCAGTCTCGTGGAGGGGCCCCTCGGTGTTAATACCCGAAATAAGAGATTTAGAAGGAGGTAAAGAAGATGAAACGCTGGAGGGAAACCTCTGCTGCCGCTGCTGATGCAGCAGCTGCTGCTGCTGCAGCAGCAGCTGCTGCTTCTGCAGCAGCAGCTGCTGCTTCTGCTGGAGCTGTTGCTGCTGCTGTTGCTGTTGCGACTCAGCGACTGTATAGGCAGCTGAGCCGAAGTAAGAGGAAGGAAGCGGGGGAGGGCTGTGAAAGCGGTGGTGCTGTGGGCACATCTTTTTTCTTCTTTTGCAGAGAAAGTCAGCAGAAGAAGAACAAAATAAAATATAAAAAGCATTTAATAGAGGCAAGAGACACACTTAAAGAAAGAGCAGAAGACAGCGTATTTAATTAAAGCAAAAAGAAAACCCTTTTAATTAAACAGCTAAAAAAATTAAGAAATTATTGATGCAGCAACAGCAACAATGAATATCTCACAAAGACAAACACACGCTGCAGCCGACTCCACAAAGGAGAAAAAGACGAAAAAAGAAAAGAGGGGCGGCTGCAGCTTGAGAACGCCTCTTTGTCTCAATCACCAGAAGAAATCAATGAAAAAAAGAATAAAATAAACTTTGAACGAAGAAATAAACAAAGAAAGAAAATGTATAGTCAAGGGGGGCGAGATGAGGGCTTAACAGGGGGTGATGGTAAGGTGGTTTATCTCTATGGCTATAGGAGCACCAGGGGAGGCGCTGCATGCATGCAATAGAGTGAAAAAAGAATAAATAAATTAATGAAAATAGAAATATTTAGACAAAAATATTAATATTGATTATACAATTAATTTAAAATTAACGCCGCAAACAAATGGATCTGATGGAGCTCCCTCTCAGCCACCTGCAGTTAATTGCATGCATGCGAAGAAGAAGAAAGGAAGATAAAGGCTGAAGTTTTTTGGGTTTTGTTTGGATGAAACAGAATAAAAGAGTTGTTTTAATTCATAATTCTGCTTTTTAAAGATGCAGAAAAGAATAATTGTTGGGAGATTCATAGAGAAGAGTTGAAATAACCTCCAATGGAATATCTCGCCTTTGAGGGTTTTTCTTCTTTTCTGCTTCTTCACTTATTCTCTTAAATTCTCTTTATTAAGCAGAAATGCCTTTTTAAATCTCAAAAATAAGTTCTTCTCCTCTTCATTTCCTCCTCACCTCCTCGGATTTATGCAAATAGGGAGCTGACTGTACACCTGAAATCAGGCAGAGGATTTCGTTTCTTTTTTCTGCTTTTTTCTTCTTCATTCTGCAATATTATGTCTACTATTAGCTGCATTAATTTCTTTTCTTCATTATAACAGACCCAAAGGCGCTAGAGCTGCCTGCAACTCAACGGTATATTGCTTTCTTTCCTCTTATCTTCTTCATTTCTGCTGTTGTTGTTCTTGGGTTTTCTCCTCTTTTTCCCCTCAACTCCAACAAAATGTCCAAACAATCCTCTTCTGTCAACCGACCCGATGCAGCGGATATTCTGGAGCTTCCCCCAGGCGTTCACAAGTCCGTCGATATTTCTTCTTAGCTATCGTTTGCAGTTGGTGTTGCTGTTGTTTGTTTTTTGTTGTTTGTTGTTTGTTTTTTGTTGTTGTTTGTTTGTTGTATTTATTCTATTTGTATTTTACTGCTTTTTTCAAGCTGAGAAGTCTGATATACTCTTTTCGTTTCATCTTTTTTCCTTTTTCTATTTTTTCAAGTACATGAATTGTTGATAGGTTTTTATATGTATGTGGGTTTATCTTTATATATTTTGTATTTGTTCATTTTTTTCTTCTTTGTTTCTCCTTTAATTTTGAATTTCTTTCTCTCTTCTCCTGATCTCTTTGTTTTCTTCTGTAATTTCGCCTCCGCACTTCGACTGATGCCTCTCCTTCTTTCTTTTTCTCTCGAATCATCAAATTATCAATAAATATAAGGCCGCCTAACATAAATATATATATTTATGTTATATATGTATATATACATATATATAATATACGCATTATGTATGTATATATATTGCAAATATATATATTGTATATATGTGATTACGTACGTCTATCAGGTATAAATAACTGAACAAACATTCGTTTTAATTCAGTAAATAAAGACAAAAGAATTAAAACAAAATAAATAAACTTAATTTTTTGCTTTTGTTCGTTCAGAGTTGAGTGGAATCCAGACCTGCGATTTCCTCTGTGCGGAACTTTTACTCTTTATCTCGAAGATTATACTGTTGGATATATCCTTAGAAAGTAAATATATTACTTTTCTTATTAATTATATTTATTTATTATTATTTATATTTATTTATTATTACTTATATTTATTTATTGTTATTTATTATTGATGACTCTTTTACTCTTTTTCTTGAGGATCATTCAGCCTAATTATTTATTTGTATTTGTTATTTATAGTATTTCTATATATTAATTCAATCTATCAACTCTATTTATTATTTGTATGTATTAGTTATATCTGTTAATTATATTTATTTATTATATTTACTTATTAAATATAAATAAATAAATAAATATGTTAAATAAAACGATAAATAAATTTAACAAATCGATAAATAAATTTGATTTGTTTCGTCAGATAAATAAATAAATATAAACAATAAATAGATAGAAAAATAGGAAACAAATAAATAAAATATACACATAAATAAATAAATAAATAAATAAATAAATAAATAAGCTAATTAATAAATGAATAAACTAGAATAGTGTAAACAATAATTTATTTATATTTATTTATATTTATTTATTTATTTATTTATTTTGTGTTCAGCGACTTACTGCGAGACAAGAGAATTAAATTCGTCGGCCTACGCCAGCCGCATCCTCTCACCGCCTCCATCGAACTGAGAATTCAAACAGTAGATGTAATTCTTTGTTATTTATTTATTTATTTATTTATTTTTTAAATATGTTTATTTATTTGTTTAATTATTCTATTTGATTGTTTATTTTTTTGGTTCGTTTGTTTATTCATTTTGTTTGTTTATTTATTTAATCTGTTTATTTATTTATTTATTTTGTTTGTTCGTTTGTTTGTTTGCGTTGTTTTGTTTTTCTCTTTGTGTATTATTTCTTTCTCTTTCTTTCGTTTCTCTCTTCATTCTACTATGAATATCCTCTTCATTTTTTGTTTATTATTTTATTTCTTTTGCTTCTAAACATCTTTTTGTCTTCTTTTTAATCTTACCTTCGTTTTTTCAGTTTTTTGTTTGTATTCTTCAGTCTCAGTCGATCTCTTTAATTTTCTTTTATTATATCTGTTGTCTTTTATTAAAATTATTTTGTTTATTTTATCTTGTTTTGTTTGTTTTCTATATAATCGAAGCCTTTAGTATC